CCCTGGGGTCGCTCCGCCGCGCTGGGGAGGGCCGGAACGGGGGTCTCCGGGAGCGCGGGGATTGGGGCGCACTGACGCGCGGTGTCCCCGCAGAACAAGCGGCAGTACGGCCCGGACGAGTACCCCCGCCGGCTGCGGATCTTCCTGGGCAACAAGCGGCGCATCGAGGAGCACAACGCCGGCAACCACAGCTACCAGAGTACGAGCCTCTGTCCCACCCCGGCCCTCTCAGCGCTGGCTCTGAGCGTGGAACCTCGCTGAGCAAAGGGTCCCTTTCTCCCCCTTCTAGTGGGCCTGAACCAGTTCTCGGATATGACCTTCGCAGAGTTTAAAAAGCTGTACCTGTGGGGGGAGCCACAGGTAAATGCTGGGAGCACAGGTGGGCAGAGGAGTAGGTGATGCAGCAGGAACCTGAATGTGAGGGACTCTGCACTGACCTGCCCCTGCTTGTGGGCCAGCACCCATCCCTGCGCTGTACCCACTCGTGGGTGAGCACTCATCCCTATACTGTACCCACTCGTGGGCAGGCACCCATCCCTGTGCTGCCCAAAACCTGCCTTGTTAAGGGCATATCCTGTGTCGGATAAGAGTGAGGTGACCTCCACCCCCATTCTCGTGGCTTTCTGCTGCCTCGGCCGAGCTATCACTTCTGCTTTCAGCTCCTCGAGTAGCTGAGGCACTGCACCCTCAGGGCTGGGCGGGCAGTGCCCTCTGGTGCTGGGCCAGGGCTCCCGGCTGCAGTGGCCAGTGTGTTGGGCAGCTTACCAGTCCCTCCGCGCCGGGGAGGGTGGCTGTCCAGGGACAGTGTCCCCCAGCCTGGTGGGGGACAGCCCTCCTGCCTCGCTTGCAGAACTGCTCAGCCACCAAGGGGAACTTCCTGCGCAGCTCCGGGCGGCATCCCGACTCCATCGACTGGAGGAGGAAGGGAAACTTTGTGACACCCGTGAAGAACCAGGTGAGGAGTGTGTGGCATGGGTGACAGGGTGGGAGAGGGCTGATGGTTGTGGGCAGGGCAGTGCTGGGAGGAGCAGTGCTGCAGGGGAGTTCTCCTGGAACCCTTCTGTGGCTGGGGCAAGGGAGGCCATGGGTCCCTGGGCAGGGGCTGAGCAGAAGGCCAAGCCCAGATGCCAGGGGCAGTGGAAGTGCTGTGCTCCTGCCATGCCCTCCTGCCCCAGCCCTAGAGGCTGGTCACCCTGCGGCACATTCTGGAGCAGTTCCTCTTTCATTTCAAACACAGGGGCCCTGTGGGAGCTGCTGGACCTTTTCCACCACAGGCTGTTTGGAGTCTGCTATTGCCATTGCCACGGGAAAACTGCTCTCTCTGGTAAGAGCTTTTCCTTTCCTGTGCACTGACCAAGCGCTGTCCCCAGTATCCCCCAAGGCTGTGGCTATGTCACCCGCCCCAGCCCACAGACCCCTTACAGCTCTGCACAAGCCCAACAGCACTGCTGGGGAGGTGCTAGACAGTGTGGCCAGGAGTTGCGTGTGCCCGAGGATGTGCCTGTCACTGTCCCCTCTTGGGGTCTGAGTGGCCCTCTGCCCTGGGCTTGGGCAGAGCCCTTTTTTGAGCAGGGCGAAGCCAGAGGGGCTGGAGACTTCTGGGAGCAGGCTTGGGGCAAGGAGCTGTGCCTGGCCCTGCCAGCTGGCTTGGGCTCCTCACTGCAAGCAGCATGTTGGGACAGTGTTGATTTTTCAACACCCAGAGGATTTACAGTCCTGACAAACTAGAAAGACAGTAGCCACTTAGACGACTTACTGGAATAGGTGGGGGTTGAGTGTGTTATAAATAAACCTGACCTTTGAAAGGAGTCTCAACCACTGCTCCTGCAGGGGGAACAGATTCCCTGCAGGTGTGAGAAGAAATGCCTCTGGCAGTCAGAGGCGTCTGTGCCGCCAGCACCAGGTCTTCCTTGTGCCCTCCTTGGGACATGGAGCCATTTCCAGATGATCCACAGTGGGTGAACAGCCAGGTGCTCTGGTTGCCTACACACACACTCACACAGCTGCAGGGATAAAGCAGAGCTCTGGTTGCCTGCACACTCACACAGCTGCAGATAAACCAGTGCTGTGGTTGCCTGCACAGACAGCCTCACAGATAAACCAGCACTCCTCAGTTCCTGCTGTGCAGTTGTGTTTTGTGTCATTTACTCTGTCAGGTGGTCACTGACTCAAACCCTTCTCTGTAGGCAGAGCAGCAGTTGGTCGACTGTGCCCAGGCCTTTAACAACCATGGCTGCAGTGGGTAAGTCAGACAAGGTCATCAAAAACAGAGACTAGAGTGTCTTATTGTGATTTATCCAGTGTTGGGGCCCTTCCAGGTCTTAGAATGGTTTTTGTCTTCCCTTGGTTGCGACATGTCACGGGAAACAGTTTTGGGTTTGGTTGCTTATTTTGATTTGGCCCTCCCTAGAGTTTCTGGTGTTTCACTAAACCTCCAGCATTTCCCACCCTCTGTTGTTCCTTAGTTGTTAGTTTCTGAGCCTTGTTTTTCATGTTTCCCGGCCTGGCAGCTGCGGGCTGTGCTGTGCTGGGCTCTGGGAGAGCAAGAGAGGTTTGGCTATTGCTCTGTCTCTGGATCATGTGCATCTCATGTTGCTGTGAGGAACCCACAGAAACCTCTTCCCCTTTGGGAATTTCCTCCTGGTGCTGCTGCAGAAGGCAGAGAAAAAGGCTTTCTAACAACTGTGAGATAAACAGTCCTGGGGGGACACTCAGAGCTGAGCAAAACCACTCTCGGTGCTTTTTATTCAGCTTGTGACTCCTTCTTAGTCCTTTCCTCATTAGCACGTCCTGCTCACACTCTCTTTCCTTCTGAGCTGTGCTCCCCAAAGGTGGCTGGGAAGGGAACAGCTTCTTGCTGGAGATGTGTGTCCCTCACTCTCCCACAGCCAGGCTGGGCAGAGGGCACCAAAAAACACCTTTCAGTATGCAAGGCTGGTGCTATGTGGGCCAGGTGGCTTCACACCATCAGGGCTCCTGGTGTCCTTGCCCAGGGGTTCAGCACCTGGAGAATAAATGAGGTCTGACCATTCCAGACAGTGTCTGGAATCCCAGGCAGGGAGATGCTGGAGGAACAGTCTGTTTTTGTGCCTTTGGAGGCTCTGGGATAGAGACTGTCCTTCCCGATCTTGGTGGGAATGTTCTGCAGGACTGTGGGGGAATTTTGATGGCTTTGCTCTGCAGAAGCTGCAGGGTTACCATCCTAATTAATCATTACCATCCTAACTGCCCTGTGCTCTGTGCTGTCTCGCAGGGGCCTGCCAAGCCAAGCCTTTGAGTACATCCTGTACAACAAAGGGCTGATGGGGGAGGACAGCTACCCATACCGGGCCAAGGTATCCCCAGCACAGCCCGGACCCCTGGGGCACAGCAGGGCCTGGCACAGGCTCCCACGGCTCCTCTCTGTTTCCACAGAATGGCACCTGCAGGTTCCAGCCGGAGAAGGCCATTGCCTTTGTCAAGGATGTTATCAATATCACGCAGGTGAGGCCTCCAGCACTGTGTTTCCACACTTCCAGGGCTGTGCCAGGGAGGTGCTGTGATGCTCCAAGGTGTGCCAAGCTCTGCAGTGAGCTGCAGCCTCTGTGCTCTTGGGAAAGGAGTGAACTGGTGTGTGCACTCCAGCTCTCTTGCACACCGTTTTGGAGGCGGCACCAAAAGATAGTGCCAATATACAGGCCCTGGGTCCCTGCCTGTTTCCCAGAGCATGTGCACCTCCAGGCTGTGGGAAGGTCCTGGTTCTTGTCTTGGTTCCTTGTGTGCAAGCAGTAAACCAGGGTTATCCATCCCTCTCTGCGCTGGCTGCTGGGCCTGGAGCCAGGCTGGTCCCAGGAGATGATGGGTGGCCCTGGATCCTCTCTTGCAGTACGACGAGGATGGCATGGTGGAAGCTGTGGGGAAGCACAACCCAGTGAGCTTTGCCTTTGAGGTGACAAGTAACTTCATGCACTACAGGAAAGGAGTGTATTCCAAGTGAGTGTTTGAACTTGGCAGAGGAGGGAGAGGGGATAAACAGATACAGAATAAATCGAAATAGAGGTAAATAGAAAAACTTAAGTAAACAGTGCCTTGATGTGTTGATTTCCCAGGAGGGTGGCAGTGCAGCACAGGGAGCAGGGCACCGGCTGCTTGCTAGGAACCACCTGGACAGGGAGGAAGAGCAGCAGAGACCAGACCAGTTTGAGACATGAAGTGACCCAGCAGGTCTTGATTGTGGTGTCAGCTCCATGGCCAGGGCAAAAACCCACTTGAAAGGCTGACGGTTGTGTTTTGGAAAGTCTGGATGCTCACTGTGGCAGGACAGATACTGTTGGGTAGGAAATGGGGAAAGGTCATGTTTGAAGAAATAGAAGATGAACGCTCAGTCACACAGGGAAAACAAAAGGGAGAGTCTGAGCCTGAGGGATCACCCCAGGGAGCTCTCAGGAAGGAGGAGGCAGCAATTCCAGTGGCTTTGCTGGTGCAATAAACAGTGATATCAAAGGTAACTGCCAGCCCCCAGCAGGTGTGGGGTGTGAGAGCTGGAGGATGGTCAGAGGAACACACCAAGTGCAGTTATCCCATGGATTTACAGTCTAAGGTGGATTCAAAGGGTGTGGAATAATTGATGCTCCAGTGCTTTCAGCCCAGAGCAGCTGTTAACAGATCCAAGACAAGTAAATCTGGTGGGGATTATTGATCTCTTCCTGAGCTACAGTTTGAAAATGTTCTGAAATAAATGCTCTAGAGGTGGGAGCTGTCTTGTTCTATACCACAGGCATCAGCTTCCAGCAAGTGCAGGTTAAAAGCTGGAAATTTAGAGGAAATACGTATTTAGACCGAGGAGCACACCGCAAAACACAGAACAGGGCCTTGAACTCAGGGCAGCACAAACCACTACTGGGAGGCACTAAGAGCTGCTGGTTTCCATTTGAACAATTCCTTTCCTTGTCCTGGTGTGACAGTATTTGATGTTGATTGTGAGCAAAGAGCTCACAATCCAGGCCAGGATCAAAGGTCTGTGGATTCCCTGACTCCAGATATGGGAGGTAATGTCAGAGTGGGCAGGCAGAGCAGTGTCTCCTTTCCTTGACGTCCCTCCTACTCTCCATGTCTGGAAGTTCAGAGCATCCCCTGGTTCTGTTGGCAGAGTGCAATCCTGGCTGATCCCTGATTTCAGGCTGGATTTCACATAACATGTGACTTGTTTCCCTGCAGCCCCCGCTGTGAGCACACACCTGACAAGGTGAACCATGCTGTCCTTGCTGTGGGCTATGGGGAGGAGGATGGCATTCCCTACTGGATCGTGAAGAACTCCTGGGGCCGGCTCTGGGGAATGGAGGGGTAAGGGGTCCCGGTGCCACCAGGCCCACCACAGCCCTCTCTGTACCTGGTGAAAGGACACCACGTGCTGGGATCCCTCAGCCCCAGGTTGCCCTTATGCTCTCCAGCTGGAATGTGGTAGCTGGGAATACACAGGGGAATCATCCCAGCCCAGGCAGTGACAGGCCTCACAAAGCCATTCCTGGGGCGACTGGTCAAAGCAGACCCTTGGAATAGTGATGGTCACCAGGGGCTCGGCCAGTGTGTGCAGAGCCACTGTGACTCTGGTTCACCTGGTTCCTCTGCTGTGGCCACACAGCCAGGGAAGGACAGGTTGGGCCAGGAGTAAGTTCTTGCTCCAGCTCCACTGGTATTTCCAGCTGCAGGTGAAATTCTGGACAGTCAGATGCTAACTCTGCTAGTTGGTGGTGTAAGGGGACAGGGAATGGTACTGCCAGGTGAGCTGCGGGCAGTACCTGCTCTGTCACGGGTATCTGCTCCTTGGGCTGGCATGAGGAGGGATCTGGCACGTAGAGCAGTTGCCATCACAGAATCACTGAATCCCAGACTGGTTTGGATTGGAAGGACCTTAAAGCTCATCCAGTGCCACCCCTGCCATGGGCAGGGACACCTTCCCCTAGCCCAGGTTGCTCCAAGCCCCATCCAACCTGGCCTGGAACACAGCCACAGCTGCTCTGGGCAACCTGTGCCAGTGCCTCAGCACCCTCGCGTGCTGTGCTGGCTCTGCCAGAGGAGGGAACACACGTTCACACCCATTTCTCTCTCTTTTCAGGTACTTCCTTATCGAAAGAGGCAAGAACATGTGTGGCCTCGCTGCCTGTGCCTCTTACCCAGTTCCTCAGGTGTGAGAAGGGTGCGCAGGCAGGGCACAGGGGGAACAGGGCAGGACTGGCAGCTGGTGTTTCTGAGTGCCGAAATGACGAAAGGGAGAACAAGGTGCAGCACACCTGTCTGCCAAACAGTGTTACCTGCGGGCAGGTTCCTCGGCTTGCACACACCTTCTGCTGCAGGAACACCTCTGCCTCCTCTCAGCCAAAAACAAGCGTCCTCCTGCGATGATTGCCAGATCTCCTCCTCCTGGCTCAGGTGTGATCAGGTGTGCCTAGGTGTGCCTTGCTCTACCTGGGACGCCTGGAGGGTTGGCAGGGGGACTGCTTGGATGCTGGCAAACCACACAGACACCTGATTTAGGATACACAAAGCTTCCCCGGTTCTTCAAGTGGCTTTTTCACAATCACCAGGTGTAAATTACAGAGATTTTTG